AAAGTTACAACATATGCTAACTTTTATGTTTGCAAGGTATTTGGATACAAGTGCATGTTACAGATGATACCAATCCATGTGGACAGACATACAGTTTATAAATTTAAAAAAAATTGTTCTAGAGGAATTGTAAAGCTGCTCATCAACAGACAAATGATATTTAATGTGGAGACCTGGAAGGCAATAACTATTGTTTGAAGACCAGGACTGTGTGTATATAATGGGTGGGCTTCCACTAATCAAAATGGAAATCGAGACAGCTGTGTGAATGGAGTGAGTCAGGTTAAGAGATGCATCTCTAGTGCATTTAATCACCAAAGGAGTTTATTTTAAATCACTCTAATTATCACTGAGACTACATTTGGAGTCATTTCCTTTTTTTTTCAAAAACTGTCGATTAACTAGAGAGATTGTAGTGAAGAATTATTCAGATAATGTTAAAATTCCAAAATTGGTACTTACTGATAATGAAGAGGCGATGCAGTTCAAAATGATAAAAGAATGTGTGATGTAGACAAAGGTTTTTTTATTTAAAAAAAAACTGTCTTGAGTATGAATCTGAAAGCATGGATTCAAGATGCTGAAAACCCTGGGAAGTTTTACTCTGTCTTTATTCTGCAGAAGTGACTTTTAACACAGTTGTGGAAGCCTATTGAGTAATCTCAGGTCATCTATCCATCAAAGGCCTTGAAATTTCATTTGGCATTCAATTAGTTGTTGAATTTTAGCATGACCCTTGTTTTCAGTACAGCTATCCCTTTGATGTAAAGAAAACTTGCTTGCCATCCGCACCATCTCCCAAGACAACATGCCCAAAATTGAGGTACTAATTACTTAAAACCAGCTTCACTGGGCAGAATATGCTCATACGACTGACACCAGATTCTCAAAGCAATAGCTCCATTTTGAGCTAAGTCATTGGCAGAACCTTTCAGAACAACAATGAAAACACTTTAAGAATGCTCTCAAAGCATCAAGGTCAAACATCTTCACTGACCCTGACTCATGACCAACCATATCGGAAAGGTTCAAGCACTAAACACATTTAGAGTTTATTAGGGTCACACATTGGTGACATCAAAGTGGTGGAGGGAGCACCTACTTTACAGTAGGGAAGCACGGACAACTTGTGCAAGCCAAGCAAAGCAGCTGAACTGTTTCTGCCTCCATTGTTTTAAATGGATTTTGGGCATCTTCTCACAAGAAATGTTTGTGCTGGAGTCAGCAACTACTCTGGCTGAGTCATGTGAACTGAATGTGAAATCGGTGCCTTTCCAGAAACATACCATGTGGCAAACTTGCTATCAACATGAGACCAACAGGTCACTGACCACAGTGCCAAGAGGCTAGTAGCTGTAAAGGACATGGAAAAAGCAGAGGATAAAATAAATGACTGAATGATGGCAAATTCATCAGTTGACCTCTGGCTGATGCTGTCCATCTGCCAGCTGTGAAAGAGACGGATACTGGGATTGTCCTCTACAACGCAACATAGTACAATCCAGAAGTGACGGCAGCCTGGGCACAGTCCATCATCTCCTGAGTTGGCCAGATGCCACTACATCATGTCATATAAGATTTATGCTCTCCTGATAGAGCAGGTGGGTCCTAGGTTTAACATCTGATCTGAAAGACAGCACCTCTGATAAGTGATTGATGCACTAATAGTACATTGGAGTGTCAGTTGGGGTGGAGCTTGAACGTACAAGTCTTCTTCTGAGTCAAGAGGTGGGAGTTCTGTTGACTGAGCCTCAAAAAGCATGTAAACTTATGGTCAAGGTATGGTGTGCACAAAACACTTTGATAGATTCCTTGGTTTTTTTGTTCATTATTTCAGCACGATTCATGGAGCATGTGTTGTCTTTGTTTCTTACACTATTTAATACTTTACATTTGTCTCTATTCATGTTCAGTTGTTCTGGTCACATATATTTTGGCCTTTTTTTTTCTGTATTTTATGAATTGAGTCTTTCATCTCCACTGATTTATTGTTCTTGTGAGAACATTGTAGAGGGCATATTGTTTGTGCTTTTACTTAATGTTTACTATTCTTACACCTGTGTTTTTTTGAACCTATTTGCATCTTTTATTATTGCATTTCGTTACCTTTTGTATACTGAAAGATTTTCTCTTGTTGCAGTTGACATCTGTTCTTTTCTTTCCCTCTGTCACCTTTTGCACTTATGATCATATTAGTACGTCATGATATTTGTCATAATGAATCCTATTCCTTGTTCTCCTTTTAGGAACTCTTGATGTCAGTTAAGCTGAATAGTTTCTTTTTGACATGCTTATTAATTAATTTGTGCTCCAGTTGTGTTGGTGCTTGTTAATTCCAGTTATTTGAGTTCTGCATGCTGCATGTTGGACCTTAAATGCTTCTGTATTTCTTTACTGAACGATTATTGAACAATCTCTGCAGCTACATATGTTCATGTTCACTCATTTTTTGAAATTAATGAATTAATGATTTGATATTGGAGGTATAGAGGCTGGATAGCGATAAGATCTATCTCTCTGAAGCTGGTTAGTTGTAGAGAAAAAGAGCCTGTGGTTGATTGGTCTTGCTTTAATTAAAACATTTAATTTCCAAACAAAAAAAATGGTTGCTGTCCCTGATGAATATGAATTTCATGACAGAAGTTTAGCATAATATTGAAGATTTTAACATAGGTCATGAAAATGAATGATTAAATAATATGAAATGCTGTGAACCTAGATCTTTGGGACAGCTGTTAAGAGCCAAGGAATGAATTCTTGTATTGTAGATTCCTGTCTTTATTTGAAGTCCTAAAATTTCATTTCAATATCATCTTAGCACCGTCTTGGACCACTTGTAAAGATTTTTAGTTGCCAAAATTCTGAGTCGTGGTTATGGAAGCAAACATGATAACCAATTTACATTTAGGAATTGTAGAGAGTAGTGTCAGCGAGTCCTTCACGTGAAGATATGTCAAAATTTTGCACAGTGCATTGTTGTGAACTGGACTAAATTGCCTGAAAGAATGGTGGAACCAGGTTAGTTGTATCATTTAAAAGAGAATTTGATAAATATTTGAAGAATAATTTACACTGCTGTAGGCAAAGTGCAGGAGGGTAGGATTGATTCAATAGGTCTACCAAAGAGCTGGCTCTGCCCTGATAAATTGAATGGCTTCCTTTTTTGTGCTATATTTGCTATTTATCTAAATTGTACCTGATGTTTGGAAAGAATGGTGTTAATGCACTAAGTGTGTTTCTCTCATTGTGTGCTTTGTTAATATAAAATAAAATTTGATTTGCTTATTGGATGGTTTTCAAAAAAAATTGAAGTAGATTTTTATTGATAAAAGCGCAAGATGAGTGATGCAAAGTACTTTTGAAGATCTTCAAAAAATTCACTTCAAAGAAATGTTTTCTTGCTAATTTGAGGTAAGTAGTTTTCTGACAGTATAATTATATTACCCCAAACTTTGGCAAGCAGTATACGTGTGGCTTACACCAAGAATCAGCATGAAGCAAAGTCACTGAGATATTTGAAAAAACTTGTGGTTCTAATTCCTATCTGTCTGATTACAAAATAAAGTGCATCAAGTTTGCTGTCCAGCTGCCAGATAAATATGGAACTGTTAGAAACTGTTATGCAGGTAGCTAATCCATTTTATCCATTAAAATTTTTGAGAAGATTTATAGCTCAGGTTGTGGATGAGGTTGTAGACTTGCTTACCGAACTGGTGTGTTTGGTTGCAGACATTTCGTCACCCTGCTAGGTAACATAGTCCGTGTGTATCCGGTGAAGCTTCATTCATCTATTTTCTTTCTCCGAGCTCTTTGCCAAAAGCAATCAAGAAACAACTGTTATCTTTATAGTATGTTTAAAATATTTATTTACTTTCTCTCAATATGAAACGATCACTGCCTCAAATACTGTATTTAGCAAAGTATTCAATGCTTTAAAACTGATGTTTGGTCTTCCCATCTATTGCTTTTGGTCTCAAGTAAATCAGTAGAAATGTTACAACAGTGTAATGTAATATTCATGGATTTTCAGCGAACTCCCACCATATCATTGGGGTACATAGTGATGTCAGTTTTTATTTTGACTCTTCTCATGATCAAAAACAGAAACTCTTCAAGAAACTCAACAGGTCTGGCAGCATCTTTGCTGAGAAAACGGTGTTAACATTGAGTCTGGTGATCCTTC